CCACGTGGTGTCTAGGCTGTGTCGTCATAGACCACGTGGTGTCTAGGCTGTGTCGTCATAGACGGGGTTGTTGTGGTTGTGGAGTCTAGGCTGTGTCGTCATAGACCACGTGGTGTGTGTGACCACGTGGTGTCTAGGCTGTGTCGTCATAGACCACGTGGTGTCTAGGCTGTGTCGTCATAGACGGGGTTGTTGTGGTTGTGGAGTCGACTTCTCTCATCGCCGTCCTCCTCCTCGTGAAGAGTTCCATAGCGTCCCCTAAACACAGAGCACAGTAGGATTATTAGTAGGATTATTAGTAGTATCAGTAGTAGTATCAGTAGTAGTATCATCATCAACATCACCATCAGTAGTAGTACCATCAGTAGAAGTTCCATAGCGTCCCCTAAACACAGAGCACAGTAGGATTATTAGTAGGATTATTAGTAGTATCACTAGTAGTATCATCATCAACATCACCATCAGTAGTAGTACCATCAGTAGAAGTTCCATATCGTCCCCTAAACACAGAGCACAGTAGGATTATTAGTAGGATTATTAGTAGTATCACTCGTAGTATCATCATCAACATCACCATCAGTAGTAGTACCATCAGTAGTAGTTCCATAGCGTCCCCTAAACACAGAGCACAGTAGGATTATTAGTAGGATTATTAGTAGTATCAGTAGTATCAGTAGTAGTATCATCATCAACATCACCATCAGTAGTAGTTCCATATCGTCCCCTAAACACAGAGCACAGTAGGATTATTAGTAGGATTATTAGTAGTATCAGTAGTATCAGTAGTAGTATCATCATCAACATCACCATCAGTAGTAGTTCCATATCGTCCCCTAAACACAGAGCACAGTAGGATTATTAGTAGGATTATTAGTAGTATCACTAGTAGTATCATCATCAACATCACCATCAGTAGTAGTTCCATATCGTCCCCTAAACACAGAGCACAGTAGGATTATTAGTAGGATCACTAGTAGGATTATTAGTAGTATCAGTAGTAGTATCACTAGTAGTATCATCATCAACATCACCATCAGTAGTAGTTCCATATCGTCCCCTAAACACAGAGCACAGTAGGATTATTAGTAGGATCACTAGTAGGATTATTAGTAGTATCACTAGTAGGATTATTAGTAGTACCATCAGTAGTAGTACCATCAGTAGTATCATCATCAACATCATCATCAGTAGTAGTATCAACATCATACTAGTAGTAGTATCAACATCATCACTAGTAGTAGTATCAACATCATCACTAGTAGTTCCATATCGTCCCCTAAACACAGAGTACAGTAGGAATATTAGTAGTATCACTAGTAGGATTATTAGTAGTACCATCAGTAGTAGTAGTACCATCAGTAGTAGTACCATCAGTAGTAGTACCATCAGTAGTATCATCATCAACATCATCATCATCAGTAGTAGTATCATCAGTAGGATTATTAGTAGTACCATCAGTAGTATCACTAGTAGTATCAGTAGTAGTATTACTAGTAGTATCATCAGTAGTATCATCATCAACATCATCAGTAGTAGTACCATATCGTCCCCTAAACACAGAGCACAGTAGTATTATTAGTAGTATCATCAGTAGGATTATTAGTAGTATCAGTAGTAGTACCACATCGCCCCCTAAACACAGAGCACAGTAGTAGTACCATCAGTAGGATCACTAGTAGTACCATCAGTAGTATCATCATCAACATCATCAGTAGTAGTACCATATCGTCCCCTAAACACAGAGCACAGTAGGATTATTAGTAGTACCATCAGTAGTATCAATACCATCAGTAGTAGTACCATATCCTCCCCTAAACAAAGAGCACAGTAGGATCACTGGTAGTATCATCAGTAGGATTATTAGTAGTATCAGTAGTAGTACCATATCGTCCCCTAAACACAGAGGACAGTAGTAGTACCATCAGTAGGATCACTAGTAGTACCATCAGTAGTATCATCATCAACATCATCAGTAGTAGTACCATATCGTCCCCTAAACACAGAGCACAGTAGGATTATTAGTAGTACCATCAGTAGTATCAATACCATCAGTAGTAGTACCATATCCTCCCCTAAACAAAGAGCACAGTAGGATCACTAGTAGTATCATCAGTAGGATTATTAGTAGTATCAGTAGTAGTACCATATCGTCCCCTAAACACAGAGCACAGTAGGATTATTAATAGTACCATCAGTAGTAGTACCATCAGTAGTATCAATAGTATCAGTAGTACCAACAGTAGTAGCACCATCAGTAGTATCAATAGTATCAGTAGTACCATCATTAGTAGTACCATCAGTAGTATCAATAGTATCAGTAGTACCATCAGTAGTAGTACCATCAGTAGTATCAATAGTATCAGTAGTACCATCAGTAGTAGTACCATCAGTAGATCAATAGTATAAGTAGTACCATCAGTAGTAGTATCATCAGTACTATCAATAGTATCAGTAGTACCATCAGTAGTAGTACCATCAGTAGATCAATAATATCAGTAGTACCATCAGTAGTAGTACCATCAGTAGTACCAATAGTATCAGTAGTACCATCAGTAGTAGTACCATCAATAGTATCAATAGTATCAGTAGTACCATCAGTAGTAGTACCATCAGTAGTATCAATAGTATCAGTAGTACCATCACTAGTAGTACCATCAGTAGTAGTATCATCATCATCAGTAGTAGTAGTATCATCATCATCATCAATAGTAGTAGTATCATCATCATCAGTAGTAGTATCAGTAGTACCAACATCATCAGTAGTAGTATCATTATCATCATCAGTAGTAGTATCATCATCAGTAGTACCATCATCATCATCAGTAGTAGTATCATCATCAGCAGTATCATCATCATCAGTAGTAGTATCATCATCATCAGTAGTATCATCATCATCAGTAGTAGTATCATCATCATCAGTAGTAGTATCATCATCAGTGGTATCATCATCATCAGTAGTAGTATCATCACCATCAGTAGTATCATCATCATCATCATCAGTAGTATCATCATCAGGGTTATCATCATCAGTAGTATCATCATCAGTAGTAGTCATCATCATCATCAGTAGTAGTATCATCACCACCACCACCATCACCACCATCACCACCACCATCACCACCACCATCACCACCACCATCACCATCACCACCACCACCATCACCACCACCACCACCACCCCAATCACCACCATCACCACCACCACCACCACCACCATCACCACCACCACCACCACCATCACCACCACCACCATCACCACCACCACCATCACCACCACCACCACCATCATCACCACCACCATCACCACCATCACCACCATCACCACCATCATCACCATCATCACCACCACCACGATCACCACCACCACCATCACCACCATCACCACCACCACCATCACCACCATCACCACCACCACCAACATCACCACCGCCACCACCATCACCACCACCACCATCATTACCACCACCACCACCACCATCACCACCACCACCACCAGCACCACCATCACCATCACCACCACCATCACCACCACAACCACCATCACCACCATCACCATCACCACCACCATCACCACCACCATCACCACCACCATCACCACCATCACCACCACCACCATCACCACCACTATCACCACCATCATCACCACCACCATCACCACCATCACCACCATCACCACCACCATCACCACCAACATCACCACCATCACCATCACCACCATCACCACCATCACCACCACCATCACTATCACCACCATCACCACCGTCACCACCACCACCACCATCACCACCACCACCACCACCATCACCACCACCACCACCATCACCACCACCATCACCACCACCACCACCATCACCACCACCACCACGACCACCACCATCACCACCACCACCACCACCACCACCATCACCACCACCACCACCATCACCACCACCACCATCACCACCATCACCACCACCACCATCATTACCACCACCACCATCACCACCACCACCACCAGCACCACCACCATCACCACCACAACCACCATCACCACCATCACCACCACCATCACCACCACCATCACCACCACCATCACCACCATCACCATCACCACCACTATCACCACCATCACCACCACCATCACCACCATCACCACCATCACCACCACCATCACCACCAACATCACCACCATCACCATCACCACCATCACCACCACCACCATCACCACCACCACCACCATCACCATCACCACCATCACCACCATCACCACCACCATCACCACCACCACCACCATCATCACCACCACCACCATCACCAACACCATCACCACCACCATCATCACCACCACCACCATCACCACCATCCACACCACCACCACCGTCACCACCACCACCACCATCACCACCACCACCACCATCACCACCACCACCATCACCACCACCACCACCATCACCACCACCATCACCACCACCACCACCACCATCACCACCACCACCATCACCACCATCACCACCATCACCATCACCACCATCACCACCACCACCATCACCACCACCACCATCACCACCACCACCATCACCACCACCACCACCATCACCATCACCACCACCACCATCACCACCATCACCACCGCCACCACCATCACCACCACCACCACCATCACCACCACCACCACCACCATCATTACCACCACCACCATCACCACCACCACCACCAGCACCACCACCATCACCACCACAACCACCATCACCACCATCACCATCACCACCACCATCACCACCACCATCACCACCACCATCACCACCATCACCATCACCACCACTATCACCACCATCACCACCACCATCACCACCATCACCACCACCATCACCACCAACATCACCACCATCACCATCACCACCATCACCACCATCACCACCACCATCACCATCACCACCATCACCACCATCACCACCATCACCATCACCACCACCACCACCATCACCACCACCACCATCACCACCACCACCATCACCACCACCACCACCATCATCACCACCACCACCATCACCAGCACCATCACCACCACCATCATCACCACCACCACCACCATCACCACCATCCACACCACCACCACCGTCACCACCACCACCACCATCACCACCACCACCACCATCACCACCACCACCACCACCATCACCACCACCATCACCACCACCACCACGACCACCACCATCACCACCACCACCATCACCACCACCACCATCACCACCACCACCACCACCATCACCATCACCACC